GAAATAATTTGTGTGATCTTTACTATTCAAAAGAAGAGACCACTTTCTTTTGCTTTGAAACCCACAGCAAAGACTGTGCTTGAAATGTTGGTTAACGTTATTCTACAGATACTTACATACTAAATAGCCCTGTACTGCCTTGGAGGCAGAACAATGCGGGTGAAAATGTCCTTCTCATGAAGTTCACAGTAGCAGACATGGTAAGTGTTGCACCTGCTGACACTTGACCAGCTGTACTTTGTTTTCATATGATTTATGGAAATAGTTCTGAATGCTTCCCTGACTCTCTAGTCAGACACCTGAGAAAGGGCAGACATCAGCCAGGTTAAGGAAAGCAGGAGAAGCAGCTGGGTGGACGGGAGACACTACACTGAGCCAGTGTACCTGCAGAGAGAGCCAGAGAGGGGCCTGCGGAGACCAGCACTGACAGCTCAGTCAGGTCACCCATGCCCCAGGACCGATTCCGTTTGATCAAAGTTAGCATGTGAGTGTATACATACTTTTTACTTCCTGAAAGGAAAAAAACATGATTTCTTTTGGACTTACTGTGCTTAGTAATTTATATAGTTTAAATCTTATATTGTTTTCAATGAAAATTTAAAAACATTATGTCAATTCTCACAACTTTTTTTTAAAGTTTACTACGTCTAGGAAATCTAAAAGCTAGGAGACTTTGGTCTACTAAGCCTTCAACAAATCTCACTGCAGAGACATGAAGTTAGTGCAAACTGACGGCTGAAGCCCTGTCTAGTGGCAAAGTTTTCTCCTTTGACTAAGGCAGGCTTTTCAAAACACACAAGCCACAGTTTCCCTGAACAATTGCTTTGGGATGAAAACCATGCTCAGTCCACTGAGCTTGTGGGATGAGTAGAACTTGAATCCAGTCCTGTTTCCTGTTCCCATTCTATGTGCCTGGATGGGGGTGGGACCCTTCTCTATAGGAAAACAGTCGTCCATTGTAGAGCATACACTTCCAGCGGTCTAATGTAAGGATCAAATCCATCAATTCCACAAGAATCTGATGCAGACTGCAAACAGATTGTCTGTTTCATTCATTTAGTGAGATATTAGTTTAATGAATAGGCCTGTTCTTGGTTGCCTTTAAGTAGGGGTCTGCATGCCAGCTATTGCTGAATTATGCTGCATCTATATACTTTAGAAATTAGGTTGACAAGAGAAAGAGTGAATTCAGTGGGGAGGGGATATCTTGATATCCCAGCCATTGGATAGGCACTTCGTTATTTCGTGCACATTAAGATGTTTGCCTATACAATTCTGTAAGAGAAATACCTTAAGATGCCGGAAAATTGCTTCTAGAAGAAATCAGAAACTTTGGACTGGAGAGATGGTTCGGTTAACATTGATTGCTGTTCAAGAGCAATGACCTGAGTTTGATTCCTATATTCCAGGAACCCATGATAGAAGGAGAGAAAGTTCTTCTCTCCCCTCCGTGAGCATGCTGCAGCATGTGTGTGACCACTTACACATATGTACATGTACACTCATAGTAACAATCATAACGTTGTATCATAACCAATCTTGAATGCAGCCTTTATCAGACAACATTTTTCCTTCACCCTTATGATAAAGAAGAAATGAGCCTGGTCAAAGGGCATTGGAGGGAGGATCTAGATGGCCTTATCATGACCGTGGAAAAGATCCTAGCTGAACCTTCCACTTTGTCTAAAGCCTCCTAAACATGCTCACCAAGATAAATTAATCATAAAACAGGTCCAAGGGTTGCAGGATGGATTGGCTCACTCCAGAAAATCCTTCGTAATTGGCCAATTACATTGGAAGCCTTGTTGAAAACAAACACTTTACTTAGCTAATGTTTACTCGAATTCCTGGAAACAAGCAATTACCTATATCATTTCTCTCCTCTGTACAATATCTTTTCTTTTATATTATGCCGATTTGTGTTTATTGAAGAAAATCAGAAATCGCAAACAAGAAAAAGCAAGGAGGCAAGAAAAATGAGGAAGCAGACAAAATCACGCCATAATCCTATTATACGCAGAACAATAGCAACATTTTATTCATGCTGCCACCTATTGCCCACCCACACATACGCTGCATGTGTAAATGCATGCGTTTTAAGAAATAAGTAAACTGTGCTGATCCTTACTCCTCCAGTGGCCTCAGGTCAGCCTAAACTGTCGTCTGTCCCAATGCCCCTGGAATTTAGACTCCTTTTCATCCTCGTCAGCACTGGTCCTCTTGGTTCACCTTTTCCATCTTGTAGATATTTCCTTATCTTCTCTTGAGAAAACAGTTCTTGGTCGCAGACACAAAGTGCCATGCGTAAAGGCTTTAAAGTTATCTGGCTTCTGACTGACTGTCTGTGGTACCATACGTGTACTGGCTAGTTTTATTTCGGCTTGATACAAGCTAGAGTCATCAGAGAGGAGGGAGCCTCAACAACAACAACAACAACAACAACAAAAACACCTCCATAAGATCTGGTGGTAGAGCATTTTATTATTTAGTGATTGATGGGAAAAGGCGCAGCACATTGTGGGTGGCGCGATCCCTAGGATGGTGATTCTGCATTCTATACGAAAACAGGTTGAAGCCTGGTGGTGGTGGTGGCGTACGCTTTTAATCCCACCACTAGGGACGCAGAGTCAGGTGGATATCTGTGAGTTCGAGGCCAGCCTGGTCTACAAGTGCTAGTTCTAGGACTGACTCCAAAGCAACAGAGAAACCTTGTCTTGAAAAAGGGAAAAAGAAAAAGAAAAAAAAAAGCGCAGATTGAGCAAGCCACAAGGAGTAAGGCAGTAAGCAACACAACTCCATGACCTCTGCATTAGCTTCTGCCTCCTGGTTATTGCCCTGTTTGAGTTCCTATCCTGATTTCCTTCAGTAAAGAACAGTGGTATGAAAGTATAAGCCAAATACACCCTTTTTCCCCCAAGTTGCTTTGGTTATAGTGTTCCAGCATAGTGACAGTAACCCAAATTAAGACACTAGGCCTTTTCTCGGTACTTTCCCTCTTCTGGGGTTCTTAATCCCAGATTCCTTCTTATTTTTTACTCACAGTGCCTTGGGAAGTAAGCCTCAAAAAATGATTTTGTCATCCAGTAAAGCAGTTTTTGTTTTTATTTTCACTCAACTCCAGCAATATTTGATTTTTAAAAAGTGGGTGCCATGTTATGCTCCTTGAAACTATTTTACCGAGAATAGAGTCAACCAAATGTGGCCATTTTATAACCAGCACATTATCATGATTTTTAAAAATTTCCCCATTTTTTATTACTTAAAAAAATACCAATCCAAACTCCCACTCCCTCCCTTCCTCCTAGTCCCCTCCCTCTCCCTCCACGGACCCTCCCCCCACACCTCCAACCCTAAGGGAGTGCCATGCACCCCACCCTGTGGAAAGTCCAATGCCATTCCTACTACTTGTAGGTTGAGCAAGGTTTACATCCAAAGAGAATAAGATCCCATGAAACAGGTATATGCAAGTAGAGACACATCCCAGTGTTATTATCCCTCACAGTCTGCCCCAGCTGTCAACTCCCTTTAGGGGGACTTGGTTGTTCCCATGCTCATTCGCTCCCAGTCCAGTTGGAGTTGGTGAGCTCCCATTAGCTCAAGCAAACTGTCTCAGTGGAAGAACCCCTTCACGGTCTTGAATTCCTTGCTCATACTCTCACTCCCTCCACTCTTCAACTGGACCTTGGGAGTTCAGTCCAGTGCTCCAATGTGGGTCATTGCCTCTGTTCCCCATCTGTTGTTGGAAGAAGGTTCTATGGTGATATTTGAGATAATTATCAGTCTGACTACAGGGTAAAATAAGGTGAACCCAAAGAAAAACAAATATAGACCCACCTGGAAATTGGAATCAGACAAAAATTTGGGAGCACGGGGGTGGAGGGTAGAAGGAGGGGGAAAGGTGGGAGGAGGAACACTTGAGGGAATGGGATGGTAGAGATGGAGGAAGGACAGGTATGAGAGCAAGGAAAGAGATATTTTGATTGAGGGAGCCGTTATGGAGTTAGCAAGAAACCTGGCTCTAGAAAAATGCCCAAGAACCCACAGGAATGAACCCAGCTGAGACCCTAAGCAACAGAGGAGAGGATGTCTGAACTGATTTTTTAATTTTTAATTGTATGTATATGTATGTGCCCATGCATTGGCATGTGTGTGTGTGCCTGTGTGGTGGGAGCCTTATGACTTCTTCAAGAAACAGGGCTGAGAATAACATGAGCGTCTTTCCCTGTGGCAAAACTCCTGGAGTCCCTGACCCACTTGGGTGGTTCGTTTCATGATTCTCTGACCCATTTGGATGATTCACTGCATGATTCTGGGCATGACTCTGGGAGCGTGGGTGTTACATGTCCTCCTTGCTTTCACCATGCTAGCCCTACTGCTGGCCTGAGTGAGCCACAGTCATGAAGTTTAAAATTACACATTTGCATAACTGTTCTGGGAAGAATGATATGAACCATAAGAGCTTTTAAGAAATGCTATTTACTAGTTGGTATCCAGAATCAGTAGGAACAGAGAGTGAAGCAGACTCACAGAAACCCACTGTTCCTTTATTTCTAATAGCTGTGCCAATACCCAAGACATTAAGGGAGTTAGACACAGGGACAAGGAATAGACAGTGTCAACCATGAGACCCCAGACTCAACCAAAAGCTATAGATAAAATATTAACCACAAGAGACAAAACTTTTTCCCACCCTGCATGATGCTGTAACCACTTGTACTGCCAAGTGGACACACTGTTCTGCCTGTGGGTGTGCCTAGTCAGAAAATTCCCTTTGAAGCTTGCAAGACTGCTTACGCTTCTGACGTTAGAAATGTAGGTCAAAAGGGTAATGGTTACACGTGGGAAGATTGGGAGGTGGGAGGGAAAAGAGACAGGACACAAGCTAATAATTATTGTAACCATTTTTTTTAAAAAAAAAAAGAAATGTAAGATGTAGAAATGTAGAAAGTAAAAATTGTTCTGTTCACGCAAACCATTGAAACTGTATAAAATGGTTCAAGCTACTAGGGACTACGTGCTTGGATGACAACCGGTGATCACAAACCTTTATTAGCACGAACTCCACACATCCATCCCAGGTCCTTTACCCATCTGCAGAAAGGCCTCCAGCACCTGTATGCACCTTATGCACCTTCAGATGCCCTGGAGCTGGAGTTAGAGGTGAGTACCTGGAACTAAACTCAGGTCCTCTGCAAGAGCAGCAAGTACTCTTGACCATTGGGTCATCTCTCCAACTCCAGATTATATTTTATAGTTAACCAGAAAAATCAAATCCTCTTTCATGTGTGTATGTATGTGTGTGTGTGAGGGGGGAAGGGGAGAGGAGAGAGAGAGAGAGAGAGAGAGAGAGAGAGAGAGAGTTGTATCTTTAGAGATTGTAAGAAGACTCACAATTTCTCTTCTAAGTGGAGTGTCTCAGCCTACCTCATGCCACAGCTTGTCTCATGGCAGCCTTGATAATTCTCAAACCCTCTGCTAGAGTGGTATCAGTGCCTGGCAGGGCCAGCTTTTAACCCTCTGGATCCACGGCCTCATTGGATCTCTTTCCCATGACTGCAGCGAACAGTCACTGAGCATGGTTAGGAGTATTAACATGTACCTTTAGCTATAGGATATGATCCCTCCATAGTAACTCATTGGTGGCTACTTCTAAACAATGTTCCACTTAAAAACCTCCTATGAGGGCAGACATTCAAGAGGGCTCTGAGATGCCTTGTGGGGTCTAAGTAATTTATTAGAAGAGTTATTAAAGCCATGGACAGGAAGATGAACAGACAGCAGCATTACAGGGGGGTCTGAGGAGAGTTTAGACTCCAATACTAGAGCTAGGCATTGGGGAGGAGCTCTGAGGAGAGGACTCAGGACCCACATGGGTCTTACATGTTTTTGAGATTGAGGGTGGTTTCATAGCGCAAACCTCTAGGCAGGCTCAGGGTTTGCAGAGCAGGAGTGTGCCCACCCATATTCTCTTTCATGTAAACACACTTCCCTAGGAGAGAGATCTGGCAGCTGGAGGTCTGTTAGCTAAGGACTCACAGAGGGACTCAGTAGGGTGCCTATCAGCATGTATGAGTAGAAGGCTGTTACAAATATGTTTTATAGCCTGAACTATTGCTGGTCTTTGACCAGACATAAAAATGTCATAAAAATGCCTAGGAATCTGGAGTGAGATTACATTACATCACAGGTCTCATCGAAACTTCTTTGGACTTCCACTGATTCGTGAGACCTGTCTTCCCTGTCTCTTGTCACAGGTTCAGCCTTCCTCCTCTAGCGCCACACTCTCGCCTGGTAAGTATTTCCCTAATATATGGGCTGCACTGACCATCCTTTTATTAGAAGAAGCCAAGTAACACACACATCCAGTAAGTGGCTATTAAAAATTACAAAATCTAGTCATAGAAAGTCTGTGTCTACCAGCTTGCTGATCTCAAAGGTACGAGGTGTTCTCAGAGGAGAAGATCCCTAGAGGAAAATATTGAAATATGCTAATCTAAGTACTCCCAGAGTCACGAGCTTCTATTCTATTTCCACACAGGAACAGATGTGTTTGTTCACTCACAGGTGAAAACATATTTTGAGCATCTCTTATGGTTGTTAGCAGGCCCTTCAACACTGATAGAATTAATCATCATTAAAGCACTTGTATTAGCAACTTCTACAGTACCGTCTTGGAAAGTGTGTTCTGAACAGTTATCTCTCACTCATCCTCAGGGAGCAGATGAAAAGCAGTACACACACTCGTCACATGGCCGGGGCTTAAGCATTCTATTGTATAGTATATTGTGAACCTTATCTATGTCAGTGAACTTCATATCTAATTGTAAACTGGTCAGTTACATGAGCATCACAGCTGAAAGACAACATATTTTTGTTCCAGTTTTCTAACTGCCAATTTCTGATTTATCAAAGTCTTCATAGTTTACACACTTTACTTCTTACCAATCTTTTCTACAAGAAGAATTTGATTGTTGACAAGTCATACAGGGAGTTCCAGTTTGCACAGCTGCATGAGTGGGTTTTATTCTACCCCCTGTATTATTTACAGATGGAGTTATATGTAAAATGTAAGTATACAATCCCAAAAGCAGTAGACAACTTCAGAGTCCTCCACAAAGATTATGATCTAGAGTTCAGAATCTTCCTGAGTTTGTCCCTGTCATTATTTCTTCTTAGGCCTGTCCTTCCAACAGGCTGATAGCCAGTCTGACAGCTGATTCTGTCTGAATCCCATCTTCTCCCTGGACATTGATAGGCTCCTCTAGATGCTAGTCTAGAATTTAGGATATTTCCTTGAGTTTCTTCATGGTTTCTTGGCATTTTCATGATAAGGCGGGTCTCTATATATAAATTCAAAAAACAATGTATTTTAAAAAATGAATTTTAAAATTCAGTTCTGTGAAGAGAATGTGGTTGACACTTATAGGTGAGGGATTCTAGGGCAAGATGAAGTTAGTCGTGTCTCGGGTTAGATGTCTGGGTCCGGGGAGTTTATAAAAAGCCAGAGTATTGAAGAGAGGTCCTGAGTGGAGTTCTAGAGAATTTGAGCCCAACTGTCAATGTTGAATTTGAAGGAAAAAAAAAAGAAACAAAACAAAACAAACAAACAAACAAACAAAAACGACTACAAAGGAAGTACTAAGCACAGCTCTGGAGGACTGTCCTGCGTTTCTTGTTTCTGAGCTCCCAGCGGTCCAGCGGTGTTCCCTCTCTCAGAAGTCAGAGCGGAGCATTTTGCCCAAAGAAGATACATCTGTAAATCTATACAGAGGGCTTCCTGGAGAAGAGAGCAGGGGATTTTTAACCCGTTTTCAAGATAGCCAGCTTCTTATGTGGGCTGTCCAGAGCTATCTCTCAGGTCTTTGAAAAATGGTCCCATTCCCAGGCAGTGCGTCTGTCTAGACTCACCCCGCTCGGTTCTGGGCTGGCTTCCAGCTCCTACTTGAGGATGTCGGCGATCCATCCTGGTGTTCATTCAGTCCTGAACTGTAGGAACCCGCCTTCCCAGGCCACGCCTCTCTTGTTTTTACATTCATTTTCGTGGACATTTGGTGGAGCGCTTTCTTCCACAGCTTCCTAACAAGGGGCAGATGGGTTATTTCTCGGAGGCTGTGTGAGTCTGAAAATGTCATTCTGCCCCCATAAGCTTTGAGCTGGACGTAATTCTAGGTTGGAGGTCATCTTCCGTTAGAATTCCCCACTGCAGAGAATTTTCTTTTCGCTCCAAAGTCACGCCGTTGTGAAGCTGAAAATTGTTATGATCAGTGATCTTTTTCTTCTTGGGAGTCTGTAGAGTTCCCCCCCCCCCTTATGTTCTGAACTATCAGAACGGAGACTCTTAAGTTTTTCAATCTACTGTGTCTGTTCAGTAAGGGTTTTCTGTCTTTGTGTTGCAGTAATAGACACTTATCTGGTATGTTCTGGAAATTTTGTATAGTAATTTTTCTTTGCTTTCTGTTCTTCCTTCCCTTTCTCCCCTTTCCCCAGCTTTCCTTAAAGCTGGCCTCAGAGTTTTCTTTTTCTCCTGTTTTGTGCCTCTGTATCTTTCTCCTCTACTGTCAAGCAGCCCTCTTCCATTTTCTCTTTTGTTTCTAGTGACTTCACCTCTGCTTGTTTCCTATCTCAAAACACATGGTCTGTTAATTTTTGTGGCATTTCACTTCTCTTCTATGGATGCAGCATTTTCTTATCTCTCTGGGAATAAGAAGACAGTTTTATTGCAGGCAGTTTACTGTATTTGTTGATTTCTTACCTACATATTTATTTAATCAGGATGCCTTTTGTGGAAGATGCTGTTGTGTTTTATTTTCTTTCTTCTTATGACAGCTTTCCTCTTGGTGCCTGGAAGTCACTGAATGTCTCCTAAATATTAAGAATGGGAACCTAAGAAGCCCATAGAATGCTTGCTGCAAGAGCCTGTACTTAGGACCATGTTGATCATCTAGGTTTGTTACAGAGGCTCTTTGGCAGGGCAGTGCAAGGGCCTCTATACAGCAGTGGATTCATTCATTAACTATTCAATCCTCTTCGCAGTCCAGCTCTAAACTGAGTCTGGCTTATCAACTTGGATATTCATGTTTTTAATTTCTGTAGGGAACAAGCTTCTAGGTATCTCCCAGAGCAGGCACAATTGCTCAGCAAAGAGGGATGGACGAAAGAGCCTGGAGAGCAATGCATAATTATTCCTCTTGTGTGTTGCAATAGAACTTGAGCCTTTTAGACTTTTAGACAGGGCCTCACTGATTGGCCTGGAACTCTGGAGCTCCCTATGCAGACCAAAGTGTTTTCACACTCAGAGAGTCACAGGCCTCTCCCTCCACAGACCTGGGATTAAAGGGGTGCGCCACTATGTTTTGTCTTGATTCCATTAAAAAAAAAAATCTTTGGCTGCTGCGATCTGTTCATCTACTCTCTTTCAGTCAGCTGATGAGGAAGCTTTTCCCTTTTTCCCTTGGCACAGCAGAGGGGTCAGAGCACACAGATAAACTCCCCACAGTTTCTCTCCTAATATAAAACAGATTCAGCCACTCCCATTCACACCAGCCCCAATTCCCTTCGCCACAGAGATCCTGCAGGCAAATTTCTGGGCAGTTTGGGCATTCTCCTGCTCTTCTTGGGAAGGTCTGTGATGATGAGGCCTTTGCTTCTTATTTTCATCTGTAGATGATATCACCAGGTAGGACATCACACCTACTTTTTCTTCCTTTCTTTTTTCTTTTTTTTTTTGAGCATTTTAAAATTATCTTATTGTATTTTTGTACATTTCTCTAATCACACATTTTCCCTTTTCTCTTTCCTCCCTTCAAACTCTTCTATATATTCTTATACTCTTCATTGCTTTTTTTTTCAAATTTATGGTCTCTTTTTTATTAATTGTTTTTATACACACATTCACACAAATACACACACACATGCATGTAGACACTTCCAAATGCATAAACACAAACTGCTCAATTTGCATAACTTTACCCTTGCATGTGTGTTTTCAGGGCTGATCATTTGGTGTTGGATAGCCAGTTGGTGTGCTTTCCCCCAGCATTCCTTGGTTGCCTGTAGGTCTTTGTATAGGGTTAAGGCTTCTTGGGCTTCCCCTCTTCCACTGTCCATTGCTGTTGTCCTTGTTCAGCTCATGTGTAGGCAGTCATGTTAGTGAGACTTTATGGGCATAGCTTCTGACATTGCTAAAAGGTGCAATCTCACAGCACTTATTAACTGCGATGGGCCCCGATTCCCTGTATTGGATGACTATAAGAAACTGTCTTCAGAGAGGGCTGTTTTGTCTTAATTGTCCCCTCACATCCCTTCCCCCTAACCAGTTCCAAAAGCAGTTCCTAAGTCTTCTGGACACCCTCATACAAACTGGTTGACTCTCACAGTTTTCTAGTACTGTATAAATATTAATTTTCTTAGGCCTACTAAGTTCTTATGTTATGAATCCCCAAATTTTGTCCGCTATTTTTTTCTTTGCCTCTTTTGCTTAACTGCTCTGTGTCTTTTAAATAAATATCTTTGCCAAGTGTTTATTGAATTAAGGAGATGAGGAAACAATTAAAGGCAAGTGTCTAATCTGTGTTGCTATCCCAGAAGCCTTCCATGAGCTCCTTCTTCACACCTTGTGGATGCTATCATTCCGGGACTGCTAAATTCCTGAAGACCACACATGTTTTGCTCTTCCTGCTCTCGGAGCGCAGTTCAATTATATTACTGGATTCTGATGAAATCTACTGTCTGCATTACTAAGAGCTTAATGTTTAGTTTCCCTATCTACAGTTGACCCTTGATTTCAGCCATTTGATTCACCTAAATCTGCTTCCTGTTATTAATATCCCTCCATTGTAATAGAGATGCAAACCCTTCAGCCATCAGTCTAGAAAGAAGCTACGATGAAAGGAAATTAACGTTTCTTATCTGGCTAAAAAATCTTGTTAGAAAATGCTAAAAATAGCAATTGAAATGAGGTTGTTTGAAAACAATGATTTCATCTATTGATAATATTATTTTGTTTTCATAGTTAATTTATAAATGAGTAAAAGTTGTTTGTATTGTTAAAATACGATTTCAAAAGTATCTTCACAATAAAAGCATAAAGATGCAAATTAATTTTTTAGCCATATACACCACAGTTCTAGTCTCTGCTCCAAGTCAGTGAGTCAGATTAAATGTATTATGTATCCTTAAAAAAATGACTGTATGATATAATCATGATAGGATAGGAGTATGTGAGCTTTAAAAACACAAAGAATAGCATATTTTGCCTGCTATTCTGTGTTAGATCATATTTAACTATGTTT